GATATCCGCAGTGTCGTACAAACCAGCAAATAACAAATTGCTTATGTTAGTATCCTGGAGAGGCTTGATAGGCTGTACCCAGTGTGACCAGGTCTGCATCACGTTATTGTTCCACCACTCCTCATTGTCCGTACCGATGAAGTGCTGATCACACTGACCATCCAACACCGGAATGGCATGAGCGAAGCGGAGTTTACCATTAGGATGTTGATCATCAAAGTCAAATACGAACTTGCCGAGGATTTGAGCATCCATACCCATCTTCCACACAGGAGTTATAATATCAGGCTTAGTGGGGTGTTGAAGATTCAAGAAAGCAGGGAAGTGATCATGGGCACCAATGATAGCATCGATCTTGATACCCTCTTCCACAACAGCCTTCCTCCATAAGAGGACATCATAACCCTCACGCTGATGAGTGAGGATGATAACCAAGTTGCAACCATCCTCATTCATCTTGCGAGCAGCCTCGACTGCGGACTCCATCATATCGGAGAACCACACGTTACTCTTCCCCGCAATATCACTAGCGGCCGAAGTCTCAGTGGTGCCAGTGAAGCAAACCTTCTTGCCCTTGACCATCTTAAACCAGTAGTCACCAGAGGGAGCGTAGTAGCTAGTCTCCTCATTGAAGATCTTCTTGTTCTTTGGCACGGTGGCATTGACAAATGAGATCTCATCAGGGACCTTCAGAGTAGAACCGAATAGCTTGGTCTTCTTAGCATCCTCAAAGACGTTATTGCTGAGGTAGAGGAAGTTGCCAGTGGCCATATTCCATGCAACACACACATCATTATACTCGGGATGGTTACCGAGGTCTGCAGGAGGGCACTTATTCTTGAACTGGAATTCATGATTCCCAAATGCCACCAAGTCTATCTCACCAGCGTTCATCATATCCACCATATGCTGACCATACGTGATGGAGGAGAGGTAAGACATAGCAACGAAATCGCCGGGGAGCATGCTGATATACTCATCAGTATCGGCAGTCAGACCAAGGTACTTATAGGTGCCTGCCATTTGGGCCGTATTACCCCATGCAGATGAAGGATCACGAACCATATCATCGAACT